GGAAGCAGTCAGAGTCCTGCATACACCCCCTTACCATGGGATCGATGCTTCACTCACCATCTCGGTCCTCATCATGGACGCTGAGGTAGAGATATTCTAGGCCTCTTCCTTTTTTGCCATGCTCAGCTCCTTGTAGTTTAGTCATGAGGGTTGTTTTACCAGAACCATCTTCACCTACAAAGGATGTTTGCAAGACAAAGGTGTACTGTTTATTCTGGGCAAGGATGGGGAGGCATGACACTCACATGACATGGAACAACTAAGAATTTCATGCAAAGTCTGCTGTTGAGGTCTCACCTGCTTTCATAAACAAAGGACTTTGCTGGAAGAGTGGTTGGGAGGGTAGGGAGGAGAGGGTGGTAAAGGCAGCAAATTCTAAAATCTAAAATGACATTCTACTGCGTTATCCTTACTTCACAAGGGAAATAATGAGGCAGGTCCACAGGCCCTATCTATAACTTATAAGACATGCATTTGGAGAAGTGAAAGTAAAAGGCAGGGTTAGTTTCTCACAAGATAAAACTTTCACCACAAGAAAAATAAGAAATCTTTTATGATACAATTAACCTAAAAGTCCAGGTACCGTAAACTAAAAAAAGTCTGATCCTACTTCACAATGGTGAAGAACGGAAGTTATTCACTTTTGATTTTAGTACATCTCCTTCACAAGCATTCTGAAGATTAAGAAACTGACGAAAATAATTACAGACCTAGCAAAACTCTTTAGTACAATCTCAGTTAATTAATAAGCACTTCTTCATCTCCCTCCACCCAAACAACACCCCCTCCCCGGATCCTTAAACATCAAGGAGAACCATCGCCAAACATTACTAGGCACTTCTGGCATTTAATAATATGGAATTACAGAACATGAGAATTGAAAGGCAGTCAGTACACAGATCAAAGACCTCCTCTCGGTCTCCAATGCCTCTACCTTATTCAGGCCCTCCGCATACAGACCATGGTGAGTACCTATCAGTCTGACTTCAGTACCTGCTCATTTTGAGCTACTGTCCCTCTGCAGGCAGTGTTCTTTCTAAAACTCAGATCTGGTGATCTTGATCCCCCACTTCTTGAAGATCTCTAAGGGTCCAGTATTACCGACCACAGTCATTTCCTGAGGAAGGTCACACATTCTCGTCAGTAGCAGTAGGAAAACTACCAAGGCAGTGATTCCCATGAGAATTGGGGGATGGAGGTGAGATAACAGGCCTTTGAGAATCAGAGAACTTCAGGAAACAGCACTAACTCTTCAGCCTTCCCACGATCTGCCCCCAACTTACCTTAGCAGCCATCAACCACAAGGCGCTTCGAGCAGTTTCCAAACCCCACACCCTCTTGTCATCTGTGTCCCTGCATACTGACACTTTTCTGCAAAATACTCAACCCCCAAATCATCCTCCTTCAACAGCTCCAAGCTGTGTCATGCTTCCACAATAATCGGCATGGATCTGTCTTCCACCGAACTGAGATTTTTGTATAGTGTTTAAGAGACGTCTATGGTGAGCCAGTGCCCAGCCCACAGGTCCCAAGCAACTTGCTGTGTGAATGTACCCCAACTCCCTCACTTGAGAAGAGTGAGGCCAGAGGGATTAAGATACCTGACTCAGGTAACCTAGCAGTGAGGGCTAGAGTAATGCAGGAAACGTCCCCAGTGCTGACTCTCTGTCCTCTGCAAAGTCCCTAAAACCTCAGACTATGCACTACTGATGAGGCTCAAAGAAGGCTCCCGTGGCCATTTCCCCACAGCTCCAAGCCCAGGTCACCTAGTTCTCCCACCTTTTCCACCTAACCTCATTTACTAGCTCCCTTCTCCACGATCTCAATTTGGTAATCTTCGAGGCTATGGAGGCATAGAACGCCAAATGACTGAAACAATGTGCCGACAACCCTAGAGCACCACTAGGCTCTCCAAAGACGGCAGCATCCCACCCCTGTCTCTTATACACATCTAGATGTGTATAAGAGACAGGTGCCCTCTAGGTCTGCGATGGCTGCGGGCTCCCACAGGTTGCGAGGCCGCCGAGGTGGCGGGCGACGGTCAGGCAGCCGCCGGGGCAGCCATGCGCGGGGAGGCGGTGGAAGAGGCGGGCACCGTCTGGACCGAGGGCGCTCTGACGGCCTCTGCCGGTTGAGGGGCGCAGCGCAGCGCCCCACCAAGCTCGCGGATTCCGCTGTGCCCTCGGGGGTCGGGCAGCCGCATGACCGTAAAGCCTAGGCTTTGGGAATGAGACTGATGCACACAAAAGCGCAATTTATCTCGAGCTCACTATGTGCCAGTCACACATTATCTCACTGAATCTTATCTAACCCTTTCACAGATGAGGAACCTGAAGCTCAGAAAATTTAAGAAACCCACCTAAGAACCCAAGACTAGAAAATAACATTCGACACTTCTAATTTATTCCCCAACCCTGGACTATTATATTATCAACTTGGCCTAACCCTACTCAAGCCCTGCATTGAAAGGCCAGCCTTAAGCAAGACGCCAGAATCCTCATAAATATCCTGCTTTTCCCCTTCCTCCTCGGAAGACTAGACTGTGAGTTAGAGCTCTTGACCGCAGTGCGTAATACACTTGGCTTTACTTTATTAACATGCTTTTTAAAATGATGTTTTCAGGGAGCCAGCATTTCACACTAGAAGAGGAGCCCTTAATTTCCTTGGGGGCCAGGTGGCAGGTGCAGAGTGGGAAGGAAAACAAAAGGAAAGGGGATGGAAAAGGGAAAGAGCGGAGAGTAACCGAAGGAAAAACATACATTCCATTATCAAGCTTAATTTTAGGTGTGGCCTCTACTTGAGGGCTCTTGCCATTCTCTATGGAAACAGGCTAAGAAGACATTTCTAAATATCACAAGGAAGTGGAATATGGCAGAAAAGCACTACCTGAGTGGGTTTCATATGAGTAGGATTGTGATCCTGACGCCAAAAATCTGGCAGCATGAATTACGGGATAAAACAAATGGGCATATCATCTGCCAAACTGGATGTAAGGTTTAAACAAGACAATGAAAGTGAAAACCCACTGAGTTCCTCCCTTGGAAATCTGGGAAAATCAGGCAAAGTGCCAGAAGTCCTAAAAGGGGAAGGAGTGCTGAATTTTCACAGGACAGAAGATGGAGTTGAAAATTACAGTCCAGTGAGCTTAATCAGCACTAAGTGAAATTTTGTGATTAGACACTAAAGGAAAAGAGAGTACCAGATTTACACAGTATCTTTCTTTTTTGCAGGAGTACCAGGTAGGCGGATGCTGCAGATATAGCAAATGCAGATTTCAACAGGGCATTTGACAATTCACATCTTAGATGCGAAAGTGAAATCAATGCTGGATGATAGCATTGAGGCTTATTAAAGACTAGCCCAGAGGTGGCTGATGAAGAGGAGGGACCAGCAGAAGAGGCTGCTAGGGGCCTGCCCAAACCTCCTGCCCTGGCCAGCCAATTCAGGGTGCCATCAGTGACTTGGATAAGAATACAGCGGCAGTAATGGAAGTTGTGGATGACCTGAAGCAGGAAGGGTTGCCTTATCTACTGCTTGACAAACTGAGCAGAGACTAAATCTAACAAGATGAAATTTAGTAGGAACATTAAAGTCCTGTGGAAGGGTTTAACAAAAAAGCATAGGAAGGCCAGGTGCGGTGGCTCACACCTGTAATCCTGGCACTTTGGGAGGCCGAGGCTGGCAAATCACTTGAGGTCAGGAGTTCCAGACCAGCCTGGCCAACATGGCAAAACCCCATCTCTACTAAAAATACAAAAA